AGTCTTCTTTTGAAGTGCAGGAGTGATCAGTTGTTGTAAGCATGCAGTCGAGCCAAGTTGTGATTACTTTTGAATTCTTCATTAAAAAATGAGTGAAACGAACGAGAACTTAGCTGTAAGGTAGGAACTGCATAACAACTGGATAGTCCTTGGCTTATGAGGTGGTGCTCATCGAGCTTCTTGAGTCTTCGGGTTTTGCTGTAGCGGGAGGTCACACACGATACTTCTTCATATTGTAGGCCATCCACTGCTTTTCAATCTTTTTCCTGTTTCATGGTGGCAAGGGTGTAATTACTCTTGCCACCTACTCTGCTGATCTTGTACGGACCTTCCCAGATAGGATCCATCTTTTTGAAGCCTTCTCTGTGGGCAATGATGAAGGCTTTTCTTAGGACTAGATCTTTGGGTTGAAACTGTCGGATCTTGGCCCTTTTGTTGTAGATGGGGAGGAGTTGCTGCTGGTAAGCTGCGATGCGGGTGATAGTCTGCTCGCACTTATCCTCTGCCATATTTAAGCTTGTGGCCATCTCCTTTCGGTTGCTCGTCTTTTGGTGGTGCGATATGCCCATAGACATCCAGCGAGTTCGTCTGGCCATTTTCTTTTCTTACTAGTAGGGGATTTCTTGTGGCAATTGAGGATCATCTTGGTGGATACTTTGGCCCGCCTATTGCCTTGAGAATATCTTGGCGAAGACATGTGCTGCTTGATGCCATATTTTTGGAAAAACTTCGCCATATTTGTGGATGCAAATTTTCTCCTCCTCGATCTTGGATGATTTTGCACCTACAAAACAACTAGCACCTTAGGTTAAGGCCAAAAGCCTCACGCCCCCACGATTAATGGGGGGGGGGGCTTTGGCCGAAGAACCTCCGATGCCAAAGTTAGAATTTTGGAGAGAAATAGTGTTTAGAGTATTTGGGATTTTTTGTAAGAGAATTGGAATGACTTTTTGGTGAGAATAGGTGCCTATTTATAGGATTAAGCTTACCCATTTTCCCCTTGGTGTGGCCGGCCTTGATGGTTTTTGTGGTTATGATTTTGGCTTAATTAGCCAATTTATTGGCTAATTAAGTATGAAAGAAGTAAATGGAAGGTTATAAAATTATTTATTTGTATAAATGGGGTAGTAAAATGGGGAAAAGTAAGAAAGACTAAGAAGAATGTGAGGTGACCGGTCACTACCTATTTTTAGGGTGAATGGGATATATTTTGTGATTAATTGCGTAATTTAATTGATGTTTAATGGATTAATTGGGTAATTAATCCATTAATTAACCAAATAACATTATTTTGTAGGTTACCTTGCAAAAGGGGATTTGATTTGATGGACTTTGAATTGGTTACCTCTTTTGGAGCATTTTTTATTTTGTTGAAAGATGATTCTCCGCTACTCGCGCGTAGGAATCCCAATGTGCCTCAAGGGTATTCTTGTCCTTTTTTTATTCGAAGATCCACGTGTCGCCTTGTGATTATTTTTGGCTCCACAGATCTTTTTTAATATCCAAAGAACAAATGACCATTAGCGTGCTGAGTAGGTAAGCCTTGTCCATGCCAAATAGCTTTAGGATTTTTTTCAATGTAAGCTGATTGATGGACCAAAATTCCATTAGCACAATGCTCGATCTACATGCCGAGACAATATTTTGTTTTCCCAAGGTTTTCATTTCAAATTCGCTTCTTCAGATATTCAGCAGTTTTGTTGAGCTCTTCAGGGGTTCCAACTAGGTTCATATCATCGACATATACTGCCACTATAACAAACCCAGAATTTGATTTCTTAATGAACACACAAGGGCAAATGACATTGTTGGTATATCCTGCTTTAAACAAATACTCACCAAGACGATTGTACCACCTTCGTCCAGATTACTTCAGCGCATACAATGATCGCCTTAATTTGATTGAGAGCATACCTCATGGTTTGTTAGTCGTTTCAGGCAACTTATGTCCTCATGGGACTTTCATATATATGTCAGTATTTAATTCTCCATATAGATATGCGATGATGACATTCATAAGTCGCATGTCAAGTTTTTTTTTTAAACCACCAAACTTATTAAGTAACGGAATGTAATTGCATCCATTACAAGAGAGTATGTCTCCTTATAATCAATTACAGGTCTTTGTGAAAAACCTTGTGCAACAAGTCGTGCTTTATATCTTGCAATCTCATTTTTCTCATTACGTTTTCTTGTGAATACCCATTTGTAACCCACGGGGTTTACACTAGGTGGGATTTGGGTTACCGGTCCAAAAACACTTCGCCTTTCTAAGGAATTTAATTCTGCCTATATTGCATTTTTCCACTTAGGCTAATCTTGTCTCTGTTTGCATTCATCAACAGAGCGGGGCTTAATATCATCGCTTAATATGATTTCAGTGGTTACTGCGAATGCGAACATGTTGTCAATGATTATTTCATTTGGATCCCACAATTCATTAGTACATGCATAATTTATGGAGATTTCTTTGGTTTCATGTACTTCTGTCTCTTCAGGGAAATATGTCTCATCAAGGACATTTTCTTTTTCTTAAAGTTCAGAATCATGAATTGTGGATTTGTCTTTCACTTTCTTTTCCTAAATGATTTTATTTGGATTTAGATGTGCCCTCATCTTTCTCTTTCAAGAGACTGAATCTTTTGAACCTAAGGGTCTACCATGCTTCAGGCGTGCACTGGATGAATAATTCGCTGCCACGTTATTGTTTCTAACAGGGACATCAATTCTTGCAGGCACATTTGCAGCTGGTATATGTGATTTTGTCACTTTGCATCTGGCATTTGATTAGCAATACTTTGAAGATGAACGATCATTTTCACTTTATTTTCACATTGAGTGTTTTGTGGATCAAAATGAGATAAGGTGGGTAAAACCCATGTCAACTCTTGCCGTTATTCTAAAATGGTTTTTTCTCCCATTAAAGATTGGAAGACTGTCTTATCAAAGTGGCAATCCGTAAAACGAGCTGTAAACATATCACTTGTCAAGGGTTCCAAATATCCAATGATAGATGGTGAATCAAAACCCACATAAATTCCCAGTATGCGTTGAGGTCCCATTTAGTGAGTTGTGGCAGTGCAATAGGCACATAAACATCAGAACAAAAAAATCGTAAATGTGAAATGTTTGGCTGATGCCCAAACACGAGTTATATTACTGAGTATTGGTGGTTGGCTTCAAGTCTCAATCGAACCAATGATGCACCATGTAAGATGGCATGTCCCCATGCATAGACTGTAATTTTGTTTTCATGAGTAAAGTGTGAGCTATTAATTGAAGCAGCTTGATAAATGATTATGCTAGACCATTGTGAATATGGACATGAGGAACAGGTTGTTCAGCATCAATGCCTAGTGTTGTAATTATCAAATGTTTTAGACATAAATTTACCAGCGTTATCAAGTCGGATTGACTTAATAAGGTAATCTGGGAACTGTGCTCGCAACTTAATTATCTGAGCAAGAAGTCTCGCAAAAGCTATATTTCGAGTAGACAATAGGCAAACATGTGACCATCGAGTAGATCCATCAACCAAAACCATAAAATATTGAAATGGTCCACTAGGTGGTTAAATAGGCCCACAAATATCCCCTTGAATTCTTTGCAAAAATGATGGAGATTCAACATCAATCCTTAGTTGTGATGGTCTAATTACTAACTTCCCTTGAGAACAAGCCTTGCAAGGGTTATCATTTGAGATAGCAATGTGTCTGCTCAATAATGGATGTCCATTAAAGTTGGTAATGATCCTACGCATTATGGTGGATCCTGGATGACCCAGACGGTCATGCCAAACCATGTAAATTTTTGAATCAATGAACTTCTGGTTCACGACAGTATGTGCTTCAATTGTCTTTATGTATGTATAATATAATCCACTCGATAAACCATGCAACTTATCCAATATACGCTTCTGGGTATCATTGGAGGTAATGCATAGATATTCCACATTTTCTGCACTTTTCGTTTCAATGTGGTATCCATTTAAACGTATGTCTTTAAAACTCAACAAATTTCGGGTGAATCGAGTAGCGTACAACGCATTTTGTATGGACAATATTGTTCCATTTGGTAACATGATATGGGTTTTTCCTAAGCTTTCAATTACATCTGATTGGCCTGATATTGTTGTTACCTTTACTTTTGTAAGCATCAAGCTTAAGAAATATTTCGATCTCGAAGTATTGTATGCATGGTTGCACTGTCTGCAAGATAAATATCTCTACCATAGCTCTTGTTTTAAGAATAACCATAATTTTTATCCATGCTTTCTGAGTAAGGGAATCACAGTTAAAAACAGTTTATTCATAATAAAAGGAAATTGAAATGCCACTTTTATTGAATTGAAAATGCGAGCTTTAAATTACAAGTTCAGAATAATAAAAGTACATCAAACAGAAATGATTCAATTTGACCGATACACTTCATTCCCTCTTTTCACAATGAAGTTTGAGACATCCAGGTGGGTTATGTTAAATTGCCCTGATAAATCAAACAGGATCAGGTATATCCATCGGTTTAACCTGGTTGATAAAATTGGTTTCGATACCCTTCTCTTTAAGGAATGCTTGATGTAGGTCCACCAGATGTTTTAGGGTACGACAGGTACGCGCCCAGTGTACATTGCCACCACACCTATGGCAAACTCCTTCAGGATTTCTAAGAGTGTTATTCATATAAGCTTTGCCTTTGTGGCGATTTGCATTCTTAAAGCTTAGGGCTGAATTATGGTTTAGAACCTAGTTGTGAAACTGAACACCATGATTCTTGCCTTTCCCGATCCACCGACCTCACTTGTTGCCACGTCCTCGTTTGTAATTATTGCCACAAGAGGATATGGTATTCACTTTAAAGGAAGCAACATTCATTTCTAGAAATAGTGCCGATCCAGTAAGTTAAGACTGATGATTCTTCATCAAAAGCTCATTGTTTTGTTTAGCCACAAAGACTACAAATATCAGTTGGTTGTACTCAATAAAGCCTCGTTCTCTATACTGCTATTGCAGGAACATGTTGGAGGCATGAAATGTGATGAAAGTCTTTTCCAGCATATCTTCCTCAATGATGGTTTCCCCACAGAGCTTCATCTGGGAGCTAATTTTGAACATTGCAGAATTGTACTCAGCCACCGACTTGAAACCCTGGATCTTTAGGTGTGTCCACTCATAATGAGCCCTTGGAAGAATCAACTTTTTCTGATGATTGTATCTATTTTTCAGTGCCATCCAGAGGGTTAATAGAGCCTCAACAGTTAGGTACTCGTTCTTTAGTCCTTCGTCAAGGTGGCGATGGATAAAGATCATGGCCTTCGCCCAATCTTGATATGATGCATTGTTATCCTCCTTGATGGTTTCTCTAAGATTCCCTGCTTCCAGATGGATCTTGGCATCCACTACCCAGGTAAGGTAGTTTTTCCTAGTAATATCCAGGGCAACAAAATCAAGCTTTGCCAAGTTCGCCATTTTCTTTTTTGAAAGAAAAAAAAAGATGTGTAAGAACATGCAATAATATGTATTCTAGAGGAATGTAGTGTTAGAACTTCTGGTTTTTACAAATTTTTCATTTTGATATTTAGGCCACAATGATAAGCACTTGAAACTTCAGGCTTGAGACTTACATGATTAATGAGGATGGCGATTGTACTGCACCACTCTCTTTGAAACAATATAGCAGGAAATGTAAATATGCAAAGCAGGGTGGGCGATTATACCGCACCACCTAAAATTGCAATAAAATTAAATCAATTTAAGAAGGGCGATGATACTGCACCATCTTCAATCGTAGTAAAGTCAACATAAATAAACAATGGGTTAGTAATCAGGAGCTTTACCAAACAAGAAATCAAAGATTTAAGTAATTGTTATATTAAGAACTAGAAGCAAGTATGGTGTTAGCAGTTCTTCGTGAAGGTACATCCAACATGTGAAGCAAAAGAGGAAGAAGAACAGTAAAATCCTTGGAGAAAGTATTTTTCGGCGAATGGAGATGAGAACTGCTTAAAGTTAGAGAGTTGTGTTGATAACGTGTTATAAATGGGCAAAAGTTTGAGAGATAACCTTTGCTAAGGATAGGAGCGAAGTGGGTGCAAAATATCATATTGCTTTGTTTTGTAACTATAACGCAAAATGATTGCAGATAAAAAGAGGAATGGAAGGATACTGGTATTATTGCTTCCAGTTCTTTTCTTTTTCATTTGCTATGTTTTGATTACCCGTGGAGTGCTCAATTTATAGAGTCACATTTGTAGGTTTACAGAGAAGGAAAATCACCTGTGACAAATCAAACAATCACCCGTGATAAACCATTTTTGAAAAAACACCACACAATAAACTATTTCCTACTATTCACTATTATTCCCATGTGGGCATTCAATCATTCTCACAATTTTTACAACACAAATTTCAAAAGGTGATAGGTAAAGTGATGATTGAATAGTGACAATCAACTCACATCAACTATTACAAACAAATACTAAACAAATCTAAAAGAAATTTTGAATAAAAAAACTCCAAAACTTTGTTCTTGTTATGAACATGAAGAACATTCATGAAAAATCCATAAGAGCTCCATAACATACTAGAGTACTTAGGGGCTTCTAATGTTACTTTAAAACTCTTTTAACAAGACAAACAAGAACCCAAAAAATCCACCCATGGATTTGGCCGAATTTCCCCAAACAAAAGGCACCAAATTTTAGCTCCAAATTTCATGCTCATACGAACTACATCTATAACTTTTGAGATGGCAAATTTTCAAGCAAAATTTATGTTCAAAGAAGCGATAACAAAGCTTGTGATCGTTACAACATTTAAATCATAAGCTATGAACAACAGAACCCAAAGAGTTCACCAAGTACTAGACCTAGACTCTTGATACCACTTGAAGGACATTATTTGAGAAACTAAGTTTATTAAGCAACATATTTCATGCATTTAACAATGAAATGGCGGAAACGTGCTTGCATGCACTTTAAAATAAACTTAAACCATGAAATTCAAAGCCTAGTAGTGATGATGAATCAAGACTCAACTCTAATCACAAAAGTGTTAAGAAACTTTATACCTTTGAAGTTCCTCTATACATGAGCAAAGACTAGTCACCCATGAGAGTGCCTTCATACCTCTCATGAAGTTGAAATCCATGGCTATCATCTCCTTGTAGTTTCCCCCTTGGATTCTTGAGTTTGAATGCTTGAGAGATTCTCCCAAAGTCTCCAAAATAGGAGACATCTAGGTTTTGATACCAATGGTGATGAAGGAAGAAGATGAGTGAATGTGAGAAAGAAGATTGCTAGCTAAGTTTCTCGTATGTGGCTGGCATTCTAGAGAGAAAAGGAGAACTTGTGTCTTTCATCTTTGCTCAAAGAAACCCTTAATGAGGGATGGAGCTGTAAAGTTGCCTTTCTACCTTATTTCTAAGTGAGTGGCAAACTTGTAATAAGTAAACTATGACTCCCTCTCTCTTTGGCCGGTTTTGTATGTGAAGTCAAGACTTTTAGGTTTGCCTTTCCTTGTTAAATATTGTAATTGAACCGCACACATGCTTAATCTAGCTTTAGGCTATACTCTAATTATGGGTTGTTACTGCTGGAGTAAATGTTCAAGATGTGGCACATTTCACCTCAAAAGGTTTATTCATACATGTGCATTTCGTGTCTATATTTATGTTACATTCTCCCTAGTTTGATTGTCTAGTCACTTTTGCGCTAACTTCCAGCTATCTGGGCACATAAATTAAGACTGGCCACATGGGCTAACTGACATCTTGTTGCTGGTAGTCAGTTTCTGGCCATTGATCTGCCTAGATCTCTTTTGCAGTTGACAAGTGTCATTTGCACAAGTTGGCTGATGGAAATCAGATTTCCTTTGATATATTTATGTTCTAGGGTTTCAGTTTGTTTCTTATAGTTTTATAATTTATTTTAGAGTGAGAGAGTTGCCTTAAAAGCTTTGAGCTTGCATCTTCTCCATTTATGAAACCCTAACTGTCAAACCTTCTTCATGCATTATACACCAATCATTAGGAAGTAGGTTTGCATTGTTTTCATGGTCTTGCATTAAGTTTCAAATCCTTTTATAGACTTATTTTTAGGATTTATCAGTTTCTTCCTTTAAATGTTTGACTATAGAAACTGACTGGTCATTGAATCCAGATTTAACATAACCATCATTGTCATATCATGTTGGTTCTCAGTGCCGCAAGGTGATGAGCTCAGGAGGAGTTACCACTTCATGAAGACCGAAAGAGTCCATCTCGTTTAAGGTAAGGTTGCACAAATGTATAAGCTCCTTCGTAGCTTGTGTGGATACTTTGTATGAAACTTGTTTACACTAGTGGATTGTACTTAGTGGTGAGTCCCTACTTTTTAAACCCAAATGTGGGTTTTTCCGACCAAAAACTCCTTGTGTTGATTATTGTTTTCTTGTTAACATATCTTGTTAATTTGCATGTAACTCATTGACTCTAGGGTTAGCAAATAGATATGTGCTTTCAACTAAGTTTAACAAAGTCTAAATGTGCACTGAACTGAAGCTTTGTTAACTAGGGTTATGTTAGTAAATCAAATATAATTGCTTATTCTTGGTTTTGGTAAACTAACAAATCCAATGTTAGTTGATTAGTGATGTTGACTAGTCAGTCAAGCATATATCAAATTTTAAATTACAGATTATTCCTCTTGGTACCAATTTCATTGTGTAATTGTGCTTGGGTTAATTTTATACAACTTAGACTCAATGGTTGTGGTGGACCAAAACTCATTTGGGTCTCAAAGCCCGAAACTTACTTAAAGTCCGATACAAACCTTTCGTATGAATAATGAACGTATTAATTAATCCTTGTCATATCCAATTAAACTATTTAATTTTCCGTACTCATCTTCATTATTTCCTTCAATCATTACCTTACACGATGTGCGATCTATTAGTTTATTTTTAGTAAGGCAGTGGGCGATTAGAACTTTTTCTAATCGATTGTGAATTGAAACTTACTTTCATTTCTCCCTTTACTGATTATACATCTTTAGGGCTTCCACAAACCATGAGTGACACCTAGCAGTATATCATGCATTCCCAAGCTAATTAGAAGAGGTTAGATAACCTATTCAGTTTGGATTACAAATGCAAAACGGTATTTCTACTCTTGATCATATTGTTTGGTTTGATAGTTTATTCATGTCTACTATCCAATGTAATTTTCTTACTTATACGATTACCTTGAATGTGATGTGGAACGACTTCTTAAATCTCATTCATATTATGGCCAGAGATTCTTAATCATATTGTAGAGTATTCTCCCTCAACGGTTTGAAGGTTAAAGATATCTTGTTGTACATTATTAAGTGGTTTAGCCCCAACTATGTTATGGACACTCTCTAATGGAATGTCTTTAACATAGTCAAGGGTTAAGGACTTAACCATAAGATAACTATGATGTCTCAGGCCAAATGACTACTTTGCATTATCCCAACTATAAGTTCCCATGTGACATGAGTATGAGAACTCTTTGTTGATCGCGTTCAGTGAACTCATTTTCTATTGAACACCTACATACTTGTCTTGGTGCCATTCACACCAATGACTCAAGACTAGTCACTATCCCAGAGAGAAGACATAACATGTATTGATCTATGCTGATCGTCAATGTCCAATTGGAAATCCCATGATCAGGATTGTTTAGGATATGTGTATAAGAGATAAATATCTCATGAATCTAACTTCTTTAAATCACATTTCTCCTAACAACATATTCCTTGGACTTATCGTTTAAGTGTATAACATTTAATGAGATGATTTTAAACAATAATCTTTACTCTTATATTAAACTAGTTTAGTTTAACATGTGAAATGTCCATAAAGTATCATCTTATTATTGGCTTTAAAGCATAGTTACAACATAGGGTTGGTTACAAAATCTATTTCTATTTTAGAGGTCCTCAATACTCAATGATTGCCAAATTTAGATATAAGAATGCCATGGAGTATTACAAAATCAAGAACTTGTCTTGAGTATTACACTAGGTCATCTTTTCCTTTGTAACTAATTTATATTTATTCTCAGTTTTATTCGATGTTGTTTGGACCTGATTTTGTATCATTGGTCCGTGTATTGGAGGCCGTTGAATTTTAATATAATTCTTAGATATTACTATTCAATTATCGTGGTAATTATCTTGTGGAAATATTTTATGAGGTTGAAGATGAGGATAAAACCGAGAGGGTTTGTCCAATAATAAGATGTGAAGCAATTGTCGAATAATAAGAAATGAAGCAATCTCGTTAGGTTGAGTGTTCGAGATAAAAGCCAATATTTGCGAATTGATTATGCTCGGGGGCAATAATAATTCGATTACTTTATAACCAGAAAACAAGAAAGTTTGAAATTTGCCGCTATTGTTTTACATCAAGCATGAAACAAAATCATATTGAAAATAGTCATATGCAAAGATCTTGGCTCAGAATAAAGTATTGTTGGCCTCCTCTTAATTATGGTTTGGCCAATTTTATTTTTGTTTGTTAAAAAAAATTAACTTTTATTTACTTAATCATTCAATTGTTTTGACGACCAATACTTAAGAAAACAAGGGGGCCACAAGTAATGTGCTTACTGAAAAAAAGTTCGTAGGCCGAACATTAAATTTGACATGTATTACATTATCGGCCTACATTAAATTCAGCTTGTATTAAATGTTATTCGAACATTAAATTCAACCTGCATTAAATTTGGTCTTTATTAAATATTGGCTGAACATTAAATTCAGCTTGCATAAATATTGGCCAAATATTAAATTTGGCTGAATTAAATACAAAGAGACCGTGCAACAGAAAGGGACATTCAACTCAAAACACAAACGCCCATCACAAAATGTCGCTTTACGCATACATTTCTCGTACTCTGAGAAATCACTAATTTTCATAACTTCGCCATCTGACAACCGATGACATCTTCAGTTTGGATTAATGACACTGAGTTGACAACCAGCGACATCTTTAGTTTGGATTAACAGCTTGGATTAATAGCCTTGTGTTGACAACCGGCGATATCTTCAGTTTGGATTATCAACATTGGAGTTGTAAAATCAAGTGACAGAGGAGCATACTTTGAAGTAACAATGTTGCTTCGAATTCGGTTGGTTATCTATCTAAGTCTCGGTCAGAGAGGAATCTTTGATTCTCTCGCTTAGAGAGGTCACTTCATTAGCCTTCTCGGCGAAGTTAAGTGCTACCCAAGTTACTTAGCGTTCGGCACATTGAAAGTTGAACTTTTTTTTACCTTCTCAATGAACTAGCAACCTTGTCTTTAGGTTCTAGAACCCAAAACCAAGATGTGTTCCTTCCTCAGCTGTGATTGCTTCAAACATGAGCCAACAACGCATTCAACACCACCATCGCATCAATTTTACTCAACAACCGAGCTTGATCGCGAGTTGGCATGCCCGCATTCACAAAAAAAAAATGCAGTTAGCTCATTAATTGCTGAACATGTACTCCACATAGGGTTGATAATTTTTACAACCAACAATTGTATATTGACAATTAATGCTTTCCAGAAATACAAATATTTGGAAAGTAAAGTTGGCGAACGAAGGTTATGATGGGTGTAGTCAAATAAAGATTTTAAAAGACTTTAGAATCATGGTGTAGTCAACTAGGATTTTAAATTTTTTTAAAAGAATCCATTCAAACACAGGGGTAGTCAATTAAAGGATTTTAAAAGACTTTAGAATCTTGATGTAGTCAATTGAGATTTTAAAATATTTTTATAGAGTCCATGTAAATCTATAGGTATTAAAAAATTCATAGATTTTGAAGGATTTCTTTCAATAAGAGATTTTGTAGGATTTGAGAAGGGATTATAAGCATAACAAAATCCTACCTCCATCCCTAGGATTTCTTTTCAACCCCCTCGTTCTTTCTCTCTCTCTCTCTCTCTCTCTCTCTCTCTCTCTCTCCATTTTGCAACTCGATCTTTCTTTCTCACTCTCCATTTTCTTTCAGACAGAGAACCCGTCAACCTTATTTCTTTTCACGTTCATCTGTCACCATCCCAGTAGTAAACTTGATTTTTTTGAATTGTACAATATTTTTTGAATTTTTTATTTCCTTTATTTTGGACTGTGTAATAGTATTTCTTGTAATGCTTTAATGGGAAGTGTTAATAGCTACTAACAGTTCTTGTAATGATTAAGCGTTCTATTTGAATGTGTTAATTTTTTACCATATTAATTGAACTCTTAGAAATTACTACTAAGAATCTTATTGCCAATTCAAGTTTTCTGTTCTTTTTCGTGTAATCATGTTAGTGTAAGGGTGCAAGCATCTTCCAAAGCCTATTTATATTGGTAACTGTACTTAGACTGAATAACAAATTATGAACTAATCAATTGTTGAGGAAAAAAGGTTAATTTTGAGACATTTGATTTAAGAAGCACTACTTGTTTTGATTAGTTAAAATTATTTTTCGTAAAGAAATCACAATTCAAATGAGAAAGGGAAAGAAAAGACATATTTGATCGGTTTATATTTCCATATCAATATACATATGCTTATGTCTTTTTTAGATTGTCACTGAGAACAAAATTTATGTTGTCGGAGTAAAAAAAGAAATCCTAAGAAATCCATGAAAGAAATCCATACAAATCCATAGAAATCTATAATAGAAATCCATAATAATCTGTCAAAATCCATATGGAATTGCAGAATCTATTAAAATCCTTTAAAATCTGTCATTTAAAAAAGTCCATTAAAATCTTCTAAAATCCAAATTGACTACACCCTCTAAAAACATGGGGCCTGAAAAAGAATTTACGACGTTGATAGCTATAGTGCATTTTTGGTAAAAGGAATGACATTATTTTTGCTTTTGTTTTTCTGTCTTTTGTCAAAGGAATGACATTTTTGTTAATTTGTTATATTTGTGACTCTAGTGCAAGTTTCTGAGTAAGTACATATATGCACGTAGAACACAGTTACAACCTTGAGTGTTTGAAAAAGAAAGTCGCAAAATATTTTCTAATAAATCTTATTGATTTAAGTAAGTTAATATTTCGTAATAACCGTCGTGGGACATGAGTGCACTATAAGAATACATATATACATAAAGAGTTTTCAGTAGTCCACACTTTTGCAGGCGAGAATTGAAATTTTTTCAATTCAAATGGCAAATGGGATTAATTACACCAAAGTCGGAGGCTACTTTCTCATCGCAGCAGTGGCAAGTTTGATATTTGTTGATTGCAGAGAGATTGGAACAGTGCAAACTAAAGAGTCTCTGAAGCACAACAAAGCAGTCATCAAAACGATAAAGGTTCAGTGGGGTGTGTGTGTGTGCGTGCGTGTATACCTTGCCATTCCCCATTTTTTTTAATTTCAAATATTTTTTAGCCATTTTACATTTGGGAATTGATAGGAAGTTGAAAATAATCGGCGATCGAACTTTGGCAGGGAGATGGCGGTCATGTGATAGATTGCGTTGATATCTATAAACAGCCAGCCCTTAATCACCCACTTCTCATAAATCACACCATAGAGGTTTGCCCTTTTATAACTAATTAGATTGTTCAGTTGGTGGATTGATTCATTTTAGTCACTATATTTTACATGAGAAATGTTTTAATTAATTTTTTATAATCATTTGGTACCGAAAAGTGGATGTTTGGTGGTGATGTGCATATCTTACAATTATAAGTGAACGAGGATCCTCTCCGGATTCTTTTTGTGAGGATCCCGAAAATTCTTCAATCGTGTCTGTTTATCATACATCTTGCGGTCAATTTTTGTCAGGTAATGTTTATATTCAATTTTAAATAAAAAAATTATAATAATTTCTGACCGCACGATATACAATGAACGGATATGATTAGAGGATATCCGGAATCCTCACAAAGAGGATCCGGAGAGGATCCTCATTCATTACAAGTAAGGTATAAAATATCGATGATATCAAAAATATCGGTAGTCCAAAAACACGGAAATTTCGATGGAAATATCGGAATATTATAGATATCGATAAAAATTGAATAAAAACCACGGAAATTGTAAGAAAAACTTGGAAATTTTTATTGAAACTTTGCAGATTGTTCATTTAGTCAATTATCTATTAGTTTATCACAAAAAAAATGGAAGGAAATGCATTGCATGATAGATATAACTGATTTAAGTTGATTATATAGCGAACCGTCAAACATTGTGAGTGTAAAAAATATAGTAATTAATGAAATAAGTTTAAACACACCATAATCATTTATATATAATGAATTAGTACAATATTTTACACTTTATACATTGTATGGTAAGATACATGAGTGACTTAGCAAGGTCTAAAATATCGATGATATCGGAAATATTGGTAGTCTAAAAAAATATCACTAGTCCAAAAACACGAAAATTTCGATAGAAATATCAAGATATTATGGATATTTTAGACCATGATTACAAGTAATCCTGCGTTCTCCGTTTCAAGGATAATGGTATAATATGCAGCATATCTAAGGGAAATTCAGGAAAATGTTAATTTTTTAGAAATTCCAAAACACTTTTACCTTATTTTAATTTTTTTTTATGTTTTCACCCCTTTTTACGTGTAAAAGACTAAACTTACAACTAATGTTTGAAATTTTTTCGATTGTCGATATTTTTGTGAAATATCCAAAAAATCAGAGAAAAATATGGAAAGGGGGTGAAGTCTAAACTTCAATACATATTAGAGAAACTTTCAAATTTCGGCTAAAATTGACAAATTTCATGGTTATTTCTGACATATCGGTTAAATATCGAAAAAACTTTTATACTTTGTCTAAACTAGTGTTTGACATTTCCTAAAGTTCCATTTTAAATTTTCATAATTTCTATCGAAAACATCCGATATCAAAATCAATAACTAATATATCTATCAATATTTTAAAAAAAATTGCATATCGATATTTCTACCGATACCGATATTTTAACCATTGCTACAACATAGTTTTAATTGGATTTGGACCCTTGTTTGTCTAAATTCCATTACTCGAGTCCATCTCAGCACTCCTCAAGTAAATATGACAGCAATTAAAAAGAACACTCGAAACAAGAGAGGTGCACCTCTTTCCTTTATTTTTTCACTATGGAAGGACTGCAACCCTCCATTTCCTTTTCCAAGTACGTACTATGGTTTCTATTAAAATTTATTTTTGAATAATTTGAAGTCTAACATAACCTTAATGTGTTTGGAAAAATAGCTGAAACCGAGTTCATATCCAAATGGAATTGAAGCCATAAGTCTTGAAGATGAGCTCTTTCAGTATTGGCGTCAGAATGGAGAGTGCCCCGAAGGAACAATCCCCATTGTACGAACACAGGGAGTTGATCATCATCGATCTAAACCACGGTTTAACCCTAAAGAAATTGGGTCCACTCCTTCAACTGGTCATGAGGTACATATCACACAATTTTGAAATATATTATAAAGTGGGCTCTGTAAAATATGTGTCAAAAATATGTATTTTCAGATTCTATATATATGGGATAGGATCCAGGGATACATTTTTAACACATATTTTTGTGAGACCCACTCTGTAATGTATTTCATCTATCTTACCCTCTATCTTTTATGTCTTACCTCAAACATCATGTATATACTAAAAAAATACTCAATTTCGAAATCATATATATGACCGTTAGATTAAATTTAGTGTTTCATTGTAGAACTATATTTGTCTATGTTCTTCACTACAAATGAATGTTTTAATAGTTTTGGATTTGTCTAATTTTTTGTAAAGATAATTTATGAATGATGTACTAAAATATAGATAGTTCATATCATTAAAATATATTACAAAGTGAATCCTACAAAATGAGTGTTAAAATATATGTCAAAAGCGTGTATCCCCAGATCTAATCTCATCCCCAGATCTAATCTCCCTCTTTTAGTTTAGGTGAATTTAGTACCAATAGAGGGTCTTGTTATTAGTATTCCAAAAATCTCATTATGCACCCCGAACTTTTTATATTTAAAAAGAAAAATATACTTGTGAGAAACGCATAATGAGATTTTTAGAGTGCCTTACTTGAAATTAGTACTTTGATATCTAATAAGCTTTATATACATAAATTTAGTTCACCTGATTAATCGTGTATTTTGTAGTATGCCCAGGTTGGTATGTACGATGGTGGATACTATGGAGCACAGGCAAGATTAAACGTATGGAACCCTGCATCGTTTAATGGAGAAATCAGTATAACCCAAACATGGATTGTGGGAGGCCAAGGACAAGAACTGAGCACTTTAGAAGCTGGCTGGCTTGTAAGTTTTAGCCAACCAAAATCCCCACTCCAATAAACTATTGAATCTTTTCACACTTTTTTAATTTAAAAGATTGATTTACAGATCAAAACGATTGGATTTGATTAACCATTTGTGGTTTCCAGGTTAGATCGCCTGATAGCCAAACAAGGCTCTTCATATTTTGGACTGTAAGTTTTTTTAAGTTCTCTTAGTGTACCCTAATTAATCTCTTGACCATATTACATGTTACTTTTCTCGCAAGTTAACTAATTTTTATAAGGGATTTTGTGTTTTTGTATAGGGTGATAATTACCAAGGTGGTTGCTACAATCTTGATTGTCCTGGTTTCGTCCAAATAAACAGCAAAGTTGCCATTGGCTATCCCATAACGCCTATTTCTAACTACAATGGGACTCAGTATGATATATTCTTAAGTATATACAAGGTATACATGGCTGATCTCTGATTGACATTTTAAACCTGTTCTCTAAAAGATTAACATTTTCCATAGTAATTTGGAGACATTTGTTGTAGGGTAATCATGTTCTCTTGATATGTTGAATATCAGAGTGCACAACAAACAAGACTAACAAAATAATAGGAATATTATTAAATAAAGGAGAATGCTGAAACGGCTACAAAACCCTAAGAGGCTACATTGTGACTAACTTATAATTCTATAGAGTTACAAAGTACCATATATATAGAAAAGTAATCTAACCCTAATAGGCAAGCAAACGAAACCCTAATACTAACGGGCTAAGCCCAAAATACCAAACATTAAAATAAATCTAAGTAATAATATTTTCCAACACCCCCCGTCAAACTCATGGCGGTACACGACATGGGTTTGCCAAAATAGATGTGGATGCAAGACTCCAAATTCCAGTGCCAATGCCGATGCTGATGCCAATGCCGATGCCGATGCCGATGCCGATGCCAATGCCGATGCCAATACCAATGCCAATGCGAATACCAATACCAATACCAATATCAATACTTCTTTCTTGCCCGTGTGGGTACAAAGTCAAAACCTCAAAAAACAAAGCATTTTCTTCTATTTCCCTTTTGTCTTTTTCCTCCTCCTTTTTCTGTTTCGTTTTTCCTTTTTTTTTTTTTTTCTACAGTCTTCTCCACAAAGAACCTGCAAAACACAAGAGTACAATGATGCGAGTGCAGGAACGTGAAGGGTGCAGATGCTCCAGATGCAGTTTAGACTACCAACAACTAATATCGAAATCCAAAACCAAACAAACTGATACGAGCAAACAGAAGCAAATTAAATCCCGAAGGATCAAACCTGCTCTGATACCAAGTTGAATATCAGAGTGCGCAACAAACAAAACTAACAAAATAATAGGAATATTATTAAATAAAGGAGAATGCCGAAACGGCTACAAAACCCTAAGATGCTACATTGTGACTAACTTATAATTCTATAGAGTTACAAAGTACCATATATATAGAAAAGTAATCTAACCCTAATAGGCAAGGAAACGAAACCATAATACTAACGGGCTAAGCCCAAAATACCAAACATTAAAATAAATCTAAATAATAATATTTTCCAACAGTTAGACTATCTGAATCATTGCTCACGACTATATTTAACAAATTGTGTGGTTGTTGTTCAAAGTTTGACAAGATAAGAATTTGTATTTGTTATATAATTCTCTGACAAGAAAACATTTATATACATATATATACGTATTTATATTCACAAGTATACAATAATCTTATACTTCTATGCTTCATCAGAACACAGTGAGTGGACATTGGTGGCTTCAAGTTGGAAATGAGGCAGTTGGATATTGGCCGGACACCATCGTCCCAGGTTTAAGAGGCAGTGCTGAAATTATTAGTTGGGGTGGAGAGATTTTCAATTCAAAACCTGAGGGTCATCACACATCAACTCAAATGGGAAGTCATCATTTTCCTATCGAAGGATTTGGTAGGGCAAGCTATGTCCGCAATATCCAATATTTGGATAACTCTTCACAGTTCAAAGATGCTGAACATCTTAGAACATATGCCACAAATCCTAAATGCTACGATGTACTTGTTAAAGACAAAACCTCAAACTTTGGAACCCATATGTATTATGGAGGTCCTGGTTATTCAATACTATGTCCCTAATTAGTTTAAGGAAACACATGAATAGTGAGAAAATGAAAGGGCAAGCTAGTGGAAATTCAGTAGAATAGAAATTTATGTACCGTCTTTGAGCGCTATGATTAAATAAAAAGTTACTCTTTTGTTCATATAGCATTTCTTAATCCATTTGTCATGATATTGCAAAGGGATAAGTCAACTGAATGCTACGTTGTAAAAAAGTTAAAAGTTAACTCGATGGTTAGACTACAAGAGCTAAGGTCATTAGTGTAGAAATCAATAATGTAAGGGCCTGCTTGTTTTGCTTCACTAGGTTTCACTGGACTAGACTGGACTAGCTTTTAGTCTAGTCCAGTGTTTGTTATCATGCGGGGCTAAGATTAATGAGATTAGCTTGGACTTGTCGGGATTAGCAGTGTCACTAAAGGTTCTTAGCTGGAGTCTCGGAAAACCATGTGTTCGGGCTGGATCTGTACCTCACACAACTCCTCGGGCTTTTGCCTGTCGGGCAAGGTTTGCTGCTTAGTGTGCTGCAATATGAGTTTGCTGTTAGTTTGAAAGGTGCCTTTGTAGGGCCTTTGTTCGGCCTTGAGGCTCACAATTAAAGCTAACACAGATTTGAGCGTGCCACTGTTATCTTTGTATAACAGACTGTCTTTATGGGTTATTTACTGGGTTGATTACTTGTGCCACAAATTACTTTAAACTTCTTGATCCTATTGGATTGTCACAGATGAGGTAAGTCTGCATAAGGTTCTTTTTCTTGCCTTGTAAACAAGGGTTTTTACTCATAATATTGTATGTCCAAAATGAAGGGGCCTCAGGGCCCTTCCAACCATTTCTTTTATCCCAGTTTACTTTAAAGAAAACAAGTTCATTAGTTTAGTCAAACTTGATCATAGATGAGACTTCGAACGAAAAACAGTTGAAAGTGATTTTAAAACACAATGAGATATGCATTAAACAATAGATCTACTTTATGTAAGTACAATCAAAAGAGGCAAGATTTAACATTGTCGGGCAAGGTTCAACTTCTTGCAACTTTTTCTCTTTGTGTTTACAGGGGCTTGTAGACTTTGGGAAACAAAATACAAATAGAATTTACCAAAGGGAATCGATACTACAACATTGGGGAAGGTAGCAGAGCTTCTAACTTGACAAAAGATGGCTTTCTATGGGGGAAGGGGGAATCTAGACAAATGCAGCTTTTTAGTTTCTTGCTTGTTTGAGAGCAAAGTGGGATGCCTTTTGATTGATTGGTTGAGTGTCTTTGTCTCTAGTGTCCCGTTCAGATTTTATAGACGTTTTAGCCTGACTGTCCAAGCTTTGCCTTTTGTTGATTGCCTTCGAAGAATAGTGAGTCACCCTTAATTTACCATCCATACCCTTGAAAAGTGCTTTTTTGCTGACGGTGTGGTGCCTTCATGTCGCCTATCACTTCTCACATAGGCATGTGGCATATGCCTTGCTAAAAAGGTTTTTAATTCTTCTTGGACCTATGTTATTGTCCGAGCCCAATCTTCCCTTTACTTTAGTATTCTTGGGCCTCCATCCTCACAAAGCCCAGCATTAAATTTCCACACAAACAATGCCCCCTTTAATCATTGTCAAGTCTGCTAATCAAGACATTGATAATGATTAAAAATAAATTGCATGCCTTAACTGGTTATTCGCTCCACTTAATTAGCCGTTTTGAATAAACTTTTGTCCTAACCCACGACTTTCAAAGTTAACTACCAGCCCGTTAAATGACTTCCACTTTACTTTTCTCGGCCATCACCTTCAGTAAACTCGACTCTCTGAACTTTCAAAACTCTCGAATTTTCAGCCCTTTGTAGCCTTAGTCTTCAATCACTTTTTACGGTCTTCTCCCAAATTCAAACATGGCCCTCAAATTGCGCCTTACATGCGAGTCTGGAGAGGGAATTGTCAATTTGCGTCGTCAGCTCAATGGCCTTCATCGCCCTTAGGTTGGCCTATATCTTTCCATCTTCTTCGATGAGGAAAGGGTATATTCATTTGGGCTTGCTTAGACTGTCTGAGTCCCTATTGCAATGGAGAGAAACATGCCCACTGCCAATTGATTCATTCCCAACCCCTACTCTGCCGAGGCTGGGATTTTTGTTTCCAAGTAGTCCAACTTCAGGAAAGTTTTTCCCTTGATGAAGGATGAAGCATTGTCCTAATGAGTGCATGAATTGGAGCCCATCTGTAACCAAAAGTGGATGGAGAATGGCATCTATAAGCTCATCATGATGTCGAAAACCATCGTCCCCATTAAACACGAGCTTCTCTTAACAACTCTTTTCTTATGGAATAATGGGATCAATACTTTCGACTTCAGAATGGGTCTCATGATTCCCACCATCTTGGATATGGCTCAGGTCTTCGGTCTAAAGCCATCAGCTAGATGTGTTGACATCACACGACTGGTTATCCCTCTCTCGCCCGACTGTCAAAAATTCAGAAGCTTCCTAATCCATCACCAATTTGGAGTAGAACTCCACCACTTTCAAGAGCTACATGACTTCCTTTGCGCGCTTCATCCCTTTCGCCAAGAAGATGTTTAGCCTACATTCCCCCACTGTGGACTTAGCACAAGAACACATGTACTTCCTCATTTGTTGGTTGAACAAGCATGTGTTCCCTAATAAATCCAAATGAGTTAAGCTGGAGTGGATCCTACTGGTAGTGGTGCTGCACTTCTTTGACTATGTTGCCACCAGACCCTTCATCTTGGCACATCTCTACCATCTCTTCCACGAGATGACAAGAGGTCAGCCATTCGAGACCAATGACAATGGAGCTACCTGGATGGTGTAGCTCTGGCTCCAGTGGTACTTCCCAGAATATCGGGCTACCAACTTAGAATTCCTAGAGGCCGTAGCTCCAGCCTGGATTTTGGCAGAGGCTCCTACCATCAGTCACTATACACTTGCCTACTTCTACTTCTTCAGAATCTGTCGGACTTAAGGTAGATTTGGAATGGGGTGCCTCTGTGCTCAAGAGGTACTCTTGGTTTTCAGAACAACTTTTCCAAGACTTAGTTGGGGAGGATGTTAGCAGCTCATGCAAGGAGAAGTTTAACAACTGCATCTAACAGAGGAACCTGGCTTGGGGAGTTCAGAGTGACCAAGCATGCTACAAGCACGGGGGAGGTCTACCACCATAACTTGTGGTAGGCAACTGGGGTTCAGGCAAGCGATCCCAGTTCTATTCTTCAACTCTATTCATTATGGGACCTTCTACCACCTCCGCTCCCCCTCTGAAGGCATTTTTTAAGCAATTAGAGGCAACTTGGAGGTCATGAGCAAGATGACTCACAAGCCCGTGGCCCTCAACTTCGAGTGTACCTCCTTGTTCACCACTTGGTGGGAGGCCAAGTGGTCCAAGAAGTATGATGGAGTCCTTAAGGAAGCACATAACAGGCTTTTGGGCAAGTCTTCTTCAAGTCTCTCCCAAATAAGGAAAAATTTGAGAGCTGGAAGGAGGCTATCAACCAAAAAATGAACTTTTGCTTATAGGTAACTTATATTGCTGCTTTTCTCCTCTTACTTCATTTTTTTTTATAGTATGTGCTTACCAACTATTTTCTAGACCTTGCAGCCTAAGGCAACACTAATGAAGTGGATGCCCGGCAAGAAAAATAGGTTGTATATGCCTTAGTCATTCAAAAGGTTACTGGAGAGGCAGCTAGGTAAGGAATGGGTTCCAACCATGCTCTCGATGATGTTGGAGACATCTCTGAGTTGTTCAACAAGATAGAGGCTGGGCCTAAAATAGAGATAAAGGCTCTTCGTTGAGCAAGGCCCTTTATGGTGGAATCATCAGAGTCCGAGGAAAAGCCTTAAGTTCAACTCGCCTACCTATCCCGAGAGCCACCCCCCACTAAGAAAAAGACTAGGTCTCAGACATCTCAAGCCTCTAAACCTTCATATGCCCTTAAGTGATCAAGATTTAGTTTTTCCTTTTCCTAATTTTGATTTTTCTGAGTCTTGAGCTAATCCCTTCTTTTCTTGTAATTAGGGCCTCCCCTCAGCAAGAAACCTGATCTTACCCCTCAAAAGTCGCAAGCGGGCATGGATGTGTAACAAAGAGACACGGAAGTCCTCGCCAAGATTCTAGATGAGTTGAAGGTATCCTTCTTAACTTTTGAGTGTTCAGTTAATTCTAAAGTTCAATGCTCTTGTACTTAGCTGATTCTTGTTATTCTCCAAAATAGGCTACCAAAGCATAGGGGACTTCACAAACCAAGCTTTCTTCTCCTCTAGCCTGACTTGCGCATACTTTTCCTTCTCGGGCTAAGCACTCAAAGGTAAAATCATCACTTTCAATACTTGTTAATTATGTATTTATGACTTTTAAATGTTGACCTTATTTTTGTTATTTTCCAGGCAATGAGAGATACTACAGTGCCTCAGGTCGGGCAAGCATCAAACCGTCATACTTCTTTTATTCCTCCATCAATGGTGGTTACTTATACTTTTTAGTTCAATCCAACAACTGGGGAGATGCTCTACTTTGTAGAGGATGACGGTACTTCTGTAAGTCTTATCTCTTTAAGCCCTTTTAAGTTTTTCTTTAAGTTTCTTCACTTTGAACTTACACTCTATATGTTGTCTTTGCCAGTCTTCTCCCATGCCTAAGACCATTATTCGACCAACACCAGCCACTGGGGAGCCTATAGCCCCTAAGATACAAGTTATCTCAAAGGTGACCAGTTCTAAGGCTCCTTAAGGTTCTTATCGGGCAAGCCAGCCTTCTCCTTCCAAGGCAGCCGCTGCAACACAACATCCTCCCAAAACTTAAGGGTCTTCTCAGGTTTAAACATGTTTCCACTCTCGTCTTTTTCTTAACTCAGGTCTAGATTATCCCACTAACTTGTCTCTTTTCTATTTCAATAAAACTCTGGTGAGGGCTCAAGCCAGTTTGCTCAGCCTGCTGTAAGTAGGGTAGTTCTCCCTCGATGTTCAAGAGCTTTTGGAGTCATAAGGATCCCCATCCCTCAGCCTAGAACGGCTGCTGCTACTTAGGCCCCAACTTCTATTTATGATGAGGCTGTTATTGCTGTTGATGATTCTGAAGCTGCTAATGTGATGTCTCATTCCCTAGCCTCCATTCCTGCCACGGCTTATTTGCCCGAATTAGTCAAAGAATTCAAGCAAATTCAAACAAAGCTAAGATCCCCAAGGTGCCATTTTGAGCCTCAAAACCTCCAAGATCAACACTAAGTTTTCAGAAAATGGATGTAAATGGACTTCACTGCCTTTTTTAGCTCAAAGCTTTTCAAGGTGCTGAGATAGCTCTCACGAACTTGTACCAGCTAAACAGATAACAAAGATGCAATATGAGTCATTTCTCTTCTTTAAGAACCTGAGGGCTCTGAGGTCTCTAAGGGACCAACATCTCAAGGTTGAGAGGCAAGCCAATAGGGTGAAGTGTTACAAAGAGAAGCACTCCAGAACCTCCACAACCTTGCAGTAGTTGGTGGAAAAGGGCTCAGCCATAGAGGATAGAATCATGATGGTGGCCGCTAAGATCTAGAAGTTGTAGGAACACTCTTTACTTTGAAAGCTAAACAGATGACCCTCTCTAGCAAACTTTACAAGAAAATTAAAGAAGTGAAGGAAGTCAATCATGAAGTGCATGATGCTGAGGTTCAGTTAACCAATAGCAACATAACCTTAGAAGAGCCTGGCCGCATTTTCACCATAATGCAGACCTACCACTCTAGGATAGTTGATTTAGTTAAAGATGTAAACATACTAGGCTAGGGTCTCTATACTCTCCCTCTTTATGAAATGAAAGATTACTTCTTTCTTCACTACTTTACTTGCTTATTTACATTTTCCTAACAATACTTAACTGTTTTAAACATATAAAAAGGATTTTCACTACTTTTCTGAGTACTTATACTTCATCAATATAAAAGTCTCTACCATCCCAAAGAGTTGGGTGATACTTTTTTTAGAAATTTAGCATTGACCGGATGTTTTTGCAAGTTTGCCTCTAAAACTGCCAAGTAGTGCCCTCCACTGTCTAATACTTTGTTAATTGTAAAAGGGCCTTCCTAAGTAGGACTCCACTTCCCAAAACCTCTAACTTGAGCTCTCAAGGGTAAAGCTGCCTTCCACACCAATTCTCCTTCTTTGAAGGTTTTCAGTTTCTCTCTCTTATTGTATGATCGGGCAACAACCTTCTTCCCTTCTTGGATCTTGTTTAGAGCTTCAATTCAGGCTACATCTAAATCTTCAATTCCTTAACACATGGCCTAAATGAATTCATCCCTATGCTGGCCAAGTTAGTTCTAAAGCCTTATAGAGCTTACATTGATTTCTATAAGGAGTACAACATCTTGCCAGAATGTCAAGGCATAAGAAATAGTTCATGTTCTTTTTTAAGTTCTGTAAGCCCAAAGAGTATATTCCAACTTCTCATGCCGGCTTTATGGGCTGTCTGCCACCATTCTCTTAATAATATTCACCAATATCTTGTTGTTGGCTTCTGTTTAACCATTAGATTAGGGATAATAAGGGCTAGACTAGATCATACTTATCTTGAACTTAACTGCAAACTCTTCTACTTCTTTTGAGATAAATGATAGCCCTCTGTCTGTAACAATTGTCTTGGGCACCCCATACTTATGTAGGATTTTAGTCTCAATGAACTTATTCACAGCAGTTGAATTAATGGTTCTCACAGCTGAAGTTTTCACCCATTTAGTAAATAATCAATTGCTACAATTATCAAGGTATGCCCTTTGCTAGAAGCTAGGTATATTTACCCGATGAAGTCCATTGCCCATCCTCTGAAAGGCCATGGTTTTACTACTGGATTCAAGGGTACTGATAGTGTGTGCTGGAGAGGTCCATGCCTTTGACATTCTTCATACCCCTAGCATAAGCTTTATAATTTTTTTCCATGTCGAGCCATAAGTAGCCATACCTCCTTAGCAACCATCTCATCTTTGTCCCTGCTTGGTGTGCTCCACAAATGCCTTCATTCACCTCAGCTATCACCCTCATTAACTTTTCCAAACCTAAGCATTTCAACAAAAGTCCATTTGGAGTCATTCTTAGCAAGGTTTTGTCCCACATAACAAACTTAGCTGTTTGTCATCTGATCTTCTTACTTGTGGAAGAGAATGGTCTTTCAAGTATTGGATGATATATGTTCTCCAGTCTTCTATCTCAGGCTCTTTAGTCGTTATATCCAAGCTAAATCCTTTCTCAAAGATAGAAGGAAGATTTATCCTTGCATTTCTACATTCATCTCGGGCCCCCTTGATAGCGATTTTACCACTTGTAAAACAAAGGGTTCTACCAAAGAAAATTCTTGCAAGAGAACAAGTGTTGTACTATAGAATGGCTCAAGCAAGGTCGATCTCCTTAGGGACTGGTATAAACAATTTATGAGCTTTTGTGTATTTAACTTAGTTAACTCTAAGAACTACACTAATTCAACAAAACTAAATACTATTGTACGTGACTTAAACAAACATTTAAAAAGGGAAATGGCTTATAGAAATAATGATTCAACTAAACAAAACAAGTAAATGAGGAAATTCAAGATAAAATAAATAATTGAAGAAAATAGATTGACAATATGCTAGAGTTCAACCTTTACCAACAACACTCCTACGTAGCTCTTCCAATTGCTTAAGTAATCGAAAACACATATGCTTTGAAGGTTGGATTTTCCTTGTGTATGTTTTACTTGTGACATTCAAGTTAAAACGCATACCACTACATGCAATTTATCCAAGACATTTGGATTAAATATAAACATGAATGATTCATTAATCTTGATGAAAATCCCTTTGTTAAACCATGTAATCCCTAAGAGTATGATATTTACCTTAGGAGAAATTACAATCCTCAATCACAAGAAGCATAACCAATTTTAACGTGACATTCGTTCAAAATTGCATCCAATGACTTTTCTAAGCATCCTAATGGTGATCAATCATCAAGACACACAGATAGTTTAATTTAGAGATTGAAAATATCAAAGCAAGCATGTAACAACACTTAAGCAATTGAAAGAGAAATCTACGTAATCATGTTGCGGCTCATGGCCTCACTCTAACAAAAAGAAATTAGTTACACATAATTATTTGAATACATAAGAAATTATCCATGAAGAATCAAAGAAAGAGACAACCCTTTTTTACAAGGAGGTTATCTCCTGATGCTCTCCGATCCTCATTCCATGTGGAGCTGCGGCTCCCTTATTTTTCTGCTATGTTGCTCGCTGCAACTCTCTCCAACGCTGAAACCTTTCCTTTAATCTCTGCCGTGCTCTCCCTCTGTGGTTCTAATTCTTTGCTCTCTGCCCTTTTCCTACTGCTTTGCCGTGTGTTGCCTTAAACAAAGGGCAATCATTTTTCAAAGCACCAAGGCCACAAGTGGAAGACAAGCCTCATCCCACTTCCTAGTGCTCCACTTTATCCTCACTCCCCCACTTTGCTTTCTGATTTTTTTTTCAAACACAACCCGTGGAGACAAGCTCCACTTCCAATTCTTTTGTTTGTTTTTATTATTTCCTTTTCTCCTTTTTGCTTGAAATTGATCCTAAGGCAAATTTAACTGCACACTAACACAAGGTAAGGTAAAATGCAACCATTTTAACACAAAAACATCACAAAGACTTTAGAAATGGATGGTATAAATGCATGAAATATATGAGTGATCAAATACTCCCAAACTTATATTTTTGCTAGTCCTCTAGCAAAACAAAACCACTCAACTAAGACTACACTCAACAACTTAGTAGCCAACTTCTCAATTTCGATTTCAGAGATAAGTGCTAACCATGAAACAAACAGCCAAGAACTAAGCAACAAGAGCTCAAAACATCATCCAATAGTTAACCAAATTTCCTTCAAACAAAACGTTGAAATGTCATGTGTGAGCTAGCCATGCCAATGCAATTCCAAGCTCCTTTAAATCATCATATGCAAACATGTGAGCTTCTCACAAGACATACGCTCATTCACTCATATGTTTCAGTTAATGTGTTTCACTCAAGTGATCTCATTGTACATGCCGCCATATGCTTGCTTGTCCACCTAACTCGCTATCAATATTTAAGTAATACCTTGGATCAATAGGACTTTATTACGGTTGTAATGGAGCTGAAGGTGATAGGCTTACGAAAGAAAGGATATGGAAATCAAAAATTTTGAGAAAGTACACTTTAGTAGTTTACCAACACCTTAATATCACACCACCTCAAATTGAAAGCAAAATAATAAAACCTCGAGCACCTATTCCTCCCCAAATTCAACTTCAAAAGGAAATTTATACTCTGCAGACACATTTTCAACAAATCAACACTCTCCAATTTTCTTTTTTTTTTCTTTCTTTCTTCCATTTTTTTTTTAAAGAAACAAATCTGCAAAAGCTACATCACCCATCAAATTCACATTTCATTGTAATACACATGCTCCATCCATCTTTCTACAGAAATGAAACCCCCAAGAGCACAACCCATGTAATACTTTCTCAAAACAATAAGGAATCGATTTCTGTGTATGGGCTCAACTCCAATATCGGAGCAAGGTAAAGAGATGTGGCTAACAAAGAAATTGCTTAGTTAAAGGCTCAACGGGCTACTATGGACACACATAGCATATAAGGTAGGCATGAAAGGCTCAAACGATCCAAAGATGGCCTATATCACTTCCAAGTTATTACAAGAATTGATGAATGAGACAAGAAGTATAAAGCAAGTTCTAGAGATACATGTACAGTGAGATCATACGCACAAGAAGGAATGAGATTGATGCATAATGGTTCAATCATGTATAGGCTCAAAAACTCACAAGGTTTACATAATCTCACATGATTCACATATGAAACGCTAAATCATGCTCAAGTTTCACATTGACAAGACTAGGCACATTTATTTTTCAAGTTGATTGCTGGAAATCACATTAACACAAAGACAACGAAAAGAACTTAGACTTCTTGAAAGTAAGAAGGAAATTAGGATCAAATCTCATCATTGAATTGAGAAGTACCTACAAACAACAACAAAAATACAAAAAAAAAAAAATTTAATTTTTTTTTCTTTTTTTTTTAAACAAGAAGTAAACTAACAAAATATATTTCCATCCCCAAACTTAATTAGAGCATTGTCCCCAATGATAATGAAAGGAATTTTGAACAATAAACATAAAGAAAAGGAAAGAACACACCAATTTGTGTAGGCGAGGAGAGCAGCAGTAAAAATGCATTTTTTTTTCCATGGTAGAATTCCAAATCATCCCCAAACTTGTTTCAACACGTCCCATTATGCATAACAAATGTGTGAGTAACCCGTGGGATTAAGAAACTTTTCAAGAAGTTGTGGTAGAGACTGCAAAATCATTACCTGCATAAGGGAGCAAAAGTAGGACTTAAACACAAACTAGAAAACAAGAGAAAAACAGAACAAGAACATTTAAAATTATTTAAACTAAAGATGAAAGATAGAAAGCTTGGGTTGCCTCCCAAGAAGCGCTTTAGTTACTGTCTAGAGCTAGACATTCTGTTGGCAGTTTGATTCAAATAACAGGTTCCTTCAAAGTGATGGAATCTTTAGCAAGATCATATGGAGACTCCTTGTATAACTTCAAGTGATGTCCATTAACTTTGAAGACAAAACCAGTTTGCATGTTTTGGATATCCACAGCCCCATGAAGATGGACCTGTACAACACGATATGGACCATTCCAATGTGATTTGAGCAAAACCTTCGAATAGTTTCAGTCTCGAATTAAAAAGCAAAACCTTCTGACCTGGTTGAAACTCTTTACGAAGGATGTGAGCATCATGAAATTTTTTGGTCTTTTCCTTGTAAATCTTTGCATTCTCATAAGCATAATTCCTTATTTCTTCCAGTTCATTCAACTACAGCTTCCGCTTCTCTCCAGCTGCCTGGTAGTCAAAATTGAGGTGTTTAATAGCCCAATATGCCTTGTGCTCAAGTTCCATAGGCAGATGGCAAGCTTTCCCATACACCAAACGAAAAGAAGACATTCTAATTGGTGTCTTATAAGTTGTCCTATATGCCCATAAAGCATCAGTAAGCTTTAAACGCCAATCCTTTCGAGATGAACTAACAATTTTCTCAAGAATCCTCTTGAGCTCACGATTATATACTTCAACTTGTCCAGATGTCTGTGGATGGTATGGGGTGGCTATGCGATGGTGAATATGATACCTGGCATAAAGGGCAGCCATGGTGCGGTTTAAGAAATGCATACCTTCGTCACTGATGATAGCACGAGGTACTCCAAATTGGGGAAAAATAGTACTCTACAAGAAACCTAACACCACAGAACTTTTGCATGTTGGAGAAGCTATTGCCTCCACCCACTTAGAGACATAATCAACCGCCACCAAGATGTAGAGATTGCCATGTGAAGAAGGGAAAGGTCCCATGAAGTCTATACCCCAGACATCAAATAGTTCAATCACCAAAATACTTTGTTGGGGCATCTCATTTCTTTGATAAAGATTGCCAACTCTTTGACACTTATCACAAGCCTGGCACCATAGGTATGCATCTTTGAATAAAGATGGCAAAAAAAAACCACTCTATAAGATCTTGGCCGCAGTCCTTCTTGGTCCAAAATGACCACCACATGCATAATAGTGAGCAAACTTCAAAATACTTTCTTGTTCTTCTAAGGGGACACACCGACGAATGATTTGATCTTGGCAATGCTTGAAAAGGTATGGCTCATCCTAAAAGTAGTGTTTTACAGTGGAGAGGAACTTCTTCCTTTGTTGGTAACTGAACTCTGATGGTATTTCTCCAGATGCCAAATAATTTGCGATGTCAGCATACCATGGTACTTGATGAGTAACTGCTAGAAGTTGCTCGTCTGGAAAGCTCTCTTGCAGGGGCAATGAATCTGCCTCATCAGTGCTTGCATTTACTAATCTTGAAAGATGATCCGCCACAACATTCTCACGTCCATTTTTATCTAGGATCTCCAAATCAAACTCTTGCAAGAAAAGGACCCATTGAATCAATCGTGGTTTGGCCTCTTTTTTAGACAATAAGTACTTGAAAGCAGAATGATCAGAATACACAATGACTTTGCACTAATTAAGTACAATCGAAACTTTTCAAGAGCAAATACCACTACAAGTAATTCTTTTTCCGTAGTGGCATAATTCAGCTGAGCATCATTCAAAGTGCGGCTGGCATAATATATAACATGGGGGAGCTTGTCACGTCGCTGACCAAGGACAGCACCCACAACGTAATCAGAAGCATCGCACATGAGCTTAAAAGGAAGGGTCCAATCTGGAGCTGTTATAATTGGGGCTGATGTGATAAGATCCTTCAATTTGTTGAAAGCATCATGACAATCTGCATTAAAATCAAAACAAGCATCTTTAGCAAGTAAATTACAAAGAGGACGACTAATTTTGGAAAAATCCTTGATGAATCTTCGATAAAAACCAGCATGTCCCAAGAAAGATCTCACATTCTTCACAGAAGTTGGTGGTGGTAATTTGGCGATCACCTCAATCTTTGCCTTGTCGACCTCTATTCCTTTGCTTGAAATTAGATGTCCTAACACAATGCCATGCTTAACCATAAAATGGCATTTTTCCTAATTTAACACAAGATTAGTCTCCCTGCATCTTTCCAAAACCAAAGACAAGTTATCCAAACATATATCGAAAGAATTACCAAAAACAGAAAAGTCATCCATAAAAACCTCAACAATATTTTCAACCATTCTGGAAAAAATACTCATCATGCATCGTTGGAAAGTGGCAAGGGCATTGCACAATCCAAATGGCATTCGTCTATATGCAAATGTACCAAAAGGGCATGTAAACGTTGTCTTCTCTTGATCCTCAGGGGCAATTGGAATTTGGTTGTACCCTGAATTTGGTTGTATCATTTCTAGTGCTGTTATTAGGCTTTCTATAGTCAACACACATTCACCATCTGGTGGTCATCCTTGTAGGCACAAGCTCGTTGTTATCATTCTTCACCACAGTAATATCAGTTTTCTTTGGAACCACCTGAGTCGAGTTCACCCATTTGCTATCCGAGATTGGATAAATGATACATGCATCGAGTAACTTCATCACCTCAAGTCTTACAACTTCCTTCGTGATCGGATTTAGACGTCTTTGAGCTTCAACAGTTGGTTTAGTCCCAGCCTCTATAAAAATCCTATGCATGCACAAAGCTGGACTAATGCCCTTTATGTCAGCAAGTGTCCACCCCATAGCATATTGATACTTGCGAATAACTCTTAGTAATTTGTCTTCCTTCGTGTCATTAAGATCAGCAGCAATAATAACAGGCAAGGTCTCGTTCACCCTGAGATGAGCATACTTGAGGTGGCTCGGCAGTAGCTTGAGCTCTAACTTCGGAGCTTGCTCACTTGAAGGAAGAAGGGGCTGCTTAGGCACTCCAAGGCTTTCATAAACATGTCGCCACTTTGGATTATGAATTGGTGCACTATCCAATGTAGCAATGATGTCCACCATATTTTCTTCCATAGATAAAGTAGCGTCATGGTTGGTGAGGCAAGTTAACAGCTCATCGTTAAATGATCGTGAGGCAAAGTTTGCATGCACAATCCCATCCAAAACATTAACACGAAAACACCCTTCAAGTTCGAGATGACGCTTGATAGTTTCAAAGAGTTTGAATACAACTGACTCTCCTTACACTCTTAAGGTTAAAGTACCTGCTTCCACATCAATAAGTGTCCAGGTGATGGCCATGAATGGTCGGCCTAAAATGAGAGGCATTTCCTTGTCTTCATCCATGTCAAGTACAATGAAATCAGCTGGGAGATAGAATTTATCCACTTTAATAATCACATCTTCCAGAATACCCAAAGGATAGGTCACAGACCTATCTACCAATTGAAGACTCACAGATGTGGGCTTGAGTTCTCCTTCACCTAATTTTTGAAAAACAGAATAAGGCATAAGGTTAACACTTGCTCCTAAATCAATCAATACTTTATGAAAATCAAGACTACCAATAGTACAAGAGATGGTGAAACTCCCCAGATCTTTCTTCTTGGGTGGTAGCTTATGTAAGAGGACAACACTGCATTGCTCAGTTAAAATCACCTTCTCGTATTCCAAGACTTTTTCTTTTTAGAACATAGCTTCTTCAGAAATTTGGCATATGATGGGATCTGTTTAATAGCATCTAATAGAGGCAAATTAATTTGAACTTTAGCCAACGTCTTCATGAATTCGATGCATTGTTGATCCTTGGAACGTTGTTGTTGTCGTTGTTGAAATGGCAAAGGTGGCTTGTATGGTGGCTTGTCAGAAGGTGCAAATAAACTACCAAGGCCTTTTTCCTTGTTTACATCAAAGTTGGGTCGAGATTGCACTTTGTCATTTGCACTAGGATCTGGAATACTTGCTGCAAAAATAGCCTCTGACGGAGACTTGGCAGCTAACGATGCACTTTCAATAAGCTCTTCTTCTTCCACTTCGGCTTCATGGTGCACCACTTCTCTGTTGTCATAGCTCTTACCACTTCTCAATGTCCGTATTACTTTGCAATGCTCCATCCCTCTTGGATTTTGCTCAGATTGGCTCGGGATCTTTCCTTTCTCTCTTTCATTGAACATGGTAGCAAGCTGTCCAACTTGAGTCTCCAAATTCCCCACTGATGCCGTGAGATTCTGAATGCTAGTTTGTGTGGATTGGACAAAATTGTTGGTGCTATTAGAGAGAGCGGACATATGTTGAGCTAGCTGTGACATTTAATCTTCAAGAAATGGTTTCTTAGTCTCACTAGTTAATTGGTAAGACTGTTGGTATTGACGTGGCTGTTGGTTGCCACCCCAACTAAGATTGGGATGGTTTTTCCACCCAGGATTATATGTATTGGAATAAGGGTCACTTCTGGGTCTAATGAAATTATTCACCATATTCACATGCTCTTGCACAAGCTCAGGGTAGCTATCATTGTTGGGGCATTGAGTGATGTCATGAGTTGTCTCACTACAAATGATGCAAGCTTCTTGGGCATTGGGCATGGAAAAGACCTGCATTAAGGTAGCAAACTTGGCATTAAAATTCTTCTCCATTTTAGCAATTTGAGTAGAAACATTAGGAGAACTCTGAGAAATCTCAAAAACTCCCTTCTTTTGTGTTTGTTCTTTTGTCCATTGTTGGGATTCAGAAGCCATCATATCAAATAACTCAAATGCTTCCCTTGCTGATTTTGACATTAGTGACCCTCCAGCAGATGCATTCACTTGACTCTTGGTGGTGGCATTGAGACCATCATAAAATATGTTCATTTGAAGGTTAGAATCAAACCCAGCATAAGGACATTTTGTGTACATCTCATTATACCGTTCCCAAGCTTCATGGAAAGACTCGTTTGGCTTTTGAGCGAAAGCCAATATCTCTTTCTTGAGTGCAAGAGTCTTGGAAGAAGGAAAAAACTTATTGAGAAATTTTTCTTGCAATTCTGTCCATGTTGTAATGCTATTGGCAGGCAGAGAATGCAGCCACGCCTTGGCTTTGTCCTTCAAAGAGAACGGGAACAAGCGTAACTTGATAGCTTCAGAAGAGAAACCTCTGATTATGGTGTTGTCACATGCCTCAATAAAATCAGCCAAATGCATGTTGGGATCACTGTTTGGTAACCCATGAAATGATGGCAATATGTTGAGGATGTGAGGTTTGATTTCAAAGGTTGTCCCATCTTCCATATCTAGATATATAATGCACCTTGGCACTGCATTGACTCTCGCTGCCAATGAATTCCTTAAAGGTTGACCTGCTGCAGGTAAGGCTAGGGTCATGTGTGCAACTGGTGCCAAAGGTAAATAGATGTGCTGCTCTCATGATCACGGAACAAATCCTTAAGAAAAGTATCACCAAGGTTGGAATCTTGTGCTAAATATTTTTCTCTAGCTAACTTCCTTGCACTTCTCTCTGGTTCAGGGTCGTAAGGAATAAGCACTTGATTCTTGGACCTTGTTCTTATCACCATATACTACACCTGAACAAACAACAGAAATATTAAGCCACAATAAAAATAAAAGTAAAATAAAATAAAACTTAATAGAAACTAACTAAACAACAAAAAGGAAAAGAAAGTAAGTAAACCTAGATGAATCAAAAACATAATTTATGCAAATTGGCAACCACTAGTTAGTTAAACAAAGACAAAAATCTCACAACACACATCCACTGCACTTAATCAAAGATCGAAACTC